GTTCATTGTGTGGGTTCTGGGTGTTCACTGTGTGGGTTCTGGGTGTTTTCTGCCGGAGTTTGATGTACCCGTGTGTGAGTTTGGGACATTTATTACTGCAGAGTTTCATTCTGGATGTTCTTGCAGTGATTAATGGGACTGAAAATGGTTTCCCCCCCAGGTCAATCGCTTTAACAAGGTGGAGGACAGAGCCATCTTCATCACTGACAGACACCTGTATAAGATGGACCCCATGAGGCAGTACAAGGTGATGAAGACCATCCCCCTCTACAACGTAAGTACAAGGGCTGGGGAACCTCCTCTGAGTCTCTCTCAGGGCAGTGCAGCTACTCTTCAACTCCATTTTCATCCCCATAAAATGGAAAAAGACAATTTTTTATATATTTAATGCCTTTTTAAGAGTTACAGTGCAATTATTACAGCACCAAAGCATCATGGTGGGATCCTTGGGGTTGTCCTGTGCAGAGCCAGGATCCTTGTGGGTCCCTTCCAACTCAGCATATCCTGTGATTCTGTGGTTTTATATCATATTAGCTTTTAAATTCAGTGCATAAAATAAAAGCTAAACCCCAAACTGCCTCTTACACATTTCTACTCCTTCCCTATTTCAGTGTTACTTGCTGTGTGCAGGATCCTGGCCCCATAAGGGGGTTGGCATTTCACAGCAGCTCCTGGCACTATTTCAGTGTCTCTGAGGGTTTGTTTGATCCTTCCTGTGGTGCTGCAATTTATTTATTTATTTGTGTTTGTTCATGTTTAATGCAAATCTCACCAGAGCTAAATCTGGCATTGGGGTGAGGTCTGGCCCTGGGGGTGGAGCTGCTGGGGGCCGAGGCAGCAGATTAGCAGGGCTGGGAAGGGGTGGGAGCACCTCCTCTCTGCTCCTCAGCACCCTGGAGGGGGGATTCAGCTGCTGTTCATCTCCCCCAGCCCGAGGTGGCTCTGCTGTGCTTTATCTCCCCCCTGCAGAGCCTGGCTGCTGCTGCTCGGGGACATCGGGCACACGTTTTTGGGATGTTTGCCCTCGGAGGAGCGACAGAGCTGGCACCTCTGTGCGGCTGAGAGGGCAGAGATGGGATTAGGGTGAGGGTGAAATCTCCTCTGCAGGCTGTGGAGGGAGTGACTGGCTCAGGCTGCATCCCCTGGTGTTGGTTTAGTGCCCTCCTCAGCCCCAGCTGGGCACCCACTGCTGATTCCTGCATACTCACCTTACCCAGAGTGACCAGGCCACTGCAGCTCACTTGCTGTGTCAGCAGCTGTAGGTAAATCTGTATTTATCACAGGTTTAGGACAATGTCTGCTTTACCTGCCTGCCTGATGGGTTTAAAGGTGCAGCTTGGAGATTTCCAACAGCAGGAGCCCAGCTCACTGTTGGCAGCCTGAACATTTCCCTCTGAAATCCTTAATGCCTTAAAAATTACAGGAGGTGGGCGAGTCAGACACAGCTTGGGGTTACATGGAGAGTATCTGTTACTCAGAAATGGCAGTAATTATTGCCTTTTCACCAAAAAAAGGTGTGTCTAAAGTAGAATATCCTTTCCTGCAGAGCTGGAGCACAGGCTGTGTGCTGCCTGTGTGTTGGTTCTCTGGGTGCTCTGCGGTTCCTCAGGCACCAAAGCAGTTGATGGGCTCTGCAGATGAGCCTCTTGCTCTTAGAATTCTTGCCTGTAGATATAAATCAGCTTTATTTGGAGATCTGCAGTTGTTCCCAACCTGCCTCAGGGATTCTTGGCTGGTTTCCTTGACCTGAGCAGGGGTCCCTGGCACTGAGGGCTCCTGGAGTGCTAGGCACAGGGGAAAGGAGTCCAGAAGACCCTCTGCTGATTTCTACAGTGTCAGAATAATATTCCAGAGTGGAAATTGGATCAAAACAAGCTTTGTTGAATTCAGGGGTGTTAAATTTCTGCCTGCTGGCCACAGCCTCTCCTTTTACCTGCTCCTCCTGCGCTGTGGTCCTGGGGAACATTCCCAGCCCTGCCCATGCACAGCAGTGGGGCCGTGGGGCCAGGGCTGATGGACTGAGCCCTCTCTGAGCTGCAGGAAGGGGGGAAGAGGAGAGAGTTTGGGGAAGTATTTGGTTCACACACAGCACATGAAATGTTTCACAGAATCCCAGGATGGTTTGGGTGAAAAGAGACCTTAAAGCCCATCCAGTCCCACCCCTGCCATGGCCAGGGACACTTTCCACGAGCCCAGGTTGCTCCAAGCCCCGTCCAACCTGTCCTTGCACACTTGCAGGGATCCAGGGGCAGCCACAGCTTCTCTGGGGATTCCATCCCAGCCCCTCCCCACCCTCACAGGGAAGAATTTCTCCCCCCATATCACATCCAAACCTGTTCCCTTTCCATTCAAAGCCGTTCAATTTGTATTTCTTTTGCCAGGATTTCCTAAATTGAACTCTGGCAATTAATGCTGTAATGCAGTTGTTTGTTCCTTTTTGTAGTTATATTTTGTCACAGATGCTTTGTATATGCATTGTCTTTCACCTCCAGCCTGCCTTACACACTCTCCCCTGTTTTTCCCTGTGCCTGATCCCCTCTGTCCTGGCAGCCCTTCCAGTGGAATGGAGGTGGAGTAAGTGGCTGATTAGTGACACAGATTCCTTCCCTTTTGGGGCAAGAACAGCTGTTTGAAATGCTGTGAAGGTTTCTGGTGGGTGATAATCCCAGCAGTGGGGATGTGTCTGGGTGTGCCAGCCCTGTCCCATGTTGGGTGTGTGTTCTCTGGAAGGACAGATCACCCTCCCCACAGGCAGAGGTGAAGATCCTTTCCCTGCTCCCTGTCAGCACAGCAGCACCCTTAGGGGTGGTGTTTCCATGGAAATCTCACTGGAGACAGTCAGCTGGTGGCTGGTGAACCACAACCTTGGGTTTGGCTGCAGAAATCCCTCCCCATCTCCCTCAGCTGGAGTTGCCTGGATGTGGTTTAGCACAGCCCTGCTCAGGGCTCTGCCCTGGGATGAGGGGGAAGGGCTGGAAACTAAATCAGCTTTGATTTGGCTTAGATGGCAGGAAGGAATCCTGCCCTGGGAGGGTGGGGAGGCCCTGGCACAGGGTGCCCAGAGAAGCTGTGGCTGCCCCTGGATCCCTGGAAGTGTCCAAGGCCAGGTTGGAGCAACCTGGGACAGTGGAAAGTGTCCCTGGCCATGGAACGGGATGATCTTTAAGGTCCCTCCAAGCCAAACCAGGCCACGACTCTGTTATTTGTGTCCTGGGTGAGGAATGTGTCATTCTGTGCACATGACCAGCAGGACCTTCCCTTTCGACCCCTCTGGATGAAGATGCTGCTTTGGGGGGATTTTCCACGGGGATTTTGCCTGTGGATTTTCCACGTGCAGTTCCCTCAGAAGTACCAATATACAGTTACCTTTTTTGTTCTAACCTGAATTAAAACCAAACAGATAATGGCAGAGAGGAATTAAGAGGCACCCAGGCAGCAGAAAGGCTCTTGCAGGCACCGTGCAGTGGGAGCACAATGAAGGATGTTCTCTGGAAGCTGAGGGGTTTTTTTCCTGCTCTTCAAGCAGAGCCAATATTAGTGTTGGTAAATACTGAGATAAGCACCTTCTCTGAAATGATTTCTTTTGTGTTGCATTGATTTGTTCAGAGAGTCTTATGGGGAGGGGTGAAATGGGAGGAATTCTGAAGGGCTCTTGGACTCCTAACAGGGTTCTGTTGAATAATTAATGTTTAAATTGCCTTTTCAAATCCGACACTGCGACTTGTTCATCTTTCACACTCGCTGCACATTTAAAACCCCGATGGCAGCAGTCCCCGTGGTGCTATTGTGCTCACAGGAGGGTATTTAAGCATGCAAATTAATTTTAAGGGACACTATAAAGCCAGGCAGCTGTTAATGCCTGTGCATGAAGTGGAGCTTGTTTTAAAAGCGTTTCACGGCCCCAGAAGAGCCTGGGCAGAGAACAAACTCCCCTGTGCCGGGGGATGGTGCTCACAGGAGGTCCCTGCCCGGGGTTCCAGGGTCAGCAGTTGCTGCCCTTCAGTTCCTGGGGGAACAAACCAACAAAATCCCAGGGATTCGGACCTCGGGAAGTGTCTCATCCCAAAAACAGGGCACAGGCTGTTGGCTGAGCTGGGCTTTTCTGGGATGTGTGAGACAGGCAGAGCTGGAACAGGTTTCTTGGAAATAATCTCTCGTGAGTGTTAAACCAGGGGCCAGCCTGGGCCTGGGTGGGATCCGTGTTCCAAAGGAGTCAGGAATGTCCAGCTGGAACTGGTGCTCACCCCCCAACAGGCTCTGGGGCTCCACAGGAGCATTTTCCTTGAGGAGAGGAATAATGAGACTTTGATTTCCAAAAAAATGGTGCATGGGTGCCTCTCATTTGTAGGAGGATGTGGCTTCTCTCTGCAGATCTCTGGGTGACCCAAAGGAGTCATGTGGCCCTTTAGTGGAACGGGGAGCTCTGCTGTGTTCTCTCTGTACTCATCACCCTTTTGCCTATTTTATTTATTTTATTTTAATTTATTTTTAATTTTTTTAAATTCTATTCAATTTTATTTATTTTATTCGATTCTATTTTTCTTTTTTAATTTTATTTATTCTTTTTATTTTAAGTCAACTTTTTACTTCATTTTTTAATTCTATTTATTTTATTCTATTCTATCTGTTTTATTTTATTGTATTCTATTTATCTTATTCTATTTATTTATTTTATTCTGTTTTATTTATTCTGTTTGATTTTATTGTATTCTATTTTATTAGATTTATCTTATTCTATTTATTTATTTTATTCTATTCTACATTTTATTTTATTTTCCTTGCTCTTTTGTCTGGTTTGATGTCCTTGCCTTTTGATGCTTTCTTTTTCCCCTCCTTACCCTTTGTTTCCTCAGCTCAGATTCATTTTCTGCTTTCTCTGATATTCATCTGAATAACCTGTGCACCCCCACTGCCCCCCTAAGAACTCTCTGCTTTTCCTTTGTGAGATGATGCCAAAGCTTTTGCTGAGCCAAGTGCAGCCACTTCCCAGACAAAAAGAAAACAGCAGAAAATAAAAAACCCAAACCAGACCCCCACACCTTTTTATTTTGTCAGAACAGCCAGACCTTAATCCAGGCCTAAACACGGGAATGATCAGGGCTTTGTGGGGTTCATGGTTTATATTCTTGTTCTATCCTTGTTCTACCTGTCCCGGGTCACACGATCATTCCAGCTGGAAAAGCCCTTTAAGATCCTCGAGTCCAGCTGCCAACACCATGGTCACCATTAAACCAGGGCCACATCCACATGTCCTTTGAGTGTTAGGGTCACAGAATCCCGGGATGGTTTGGGTTGGAAGGGACCTTAAAGCCCATCCAGTCCCACCCCGTGCCATGGGCAGGGACACCTTCCCCTATCCCAGGTTGCTCCAACCCATCCCACCTGGCCTTGGACGTTCCAGGGATGGGGCATAAGGTTGTTCTTGCTTTCCTTCTGCCCCCAGCTGGTGGGGCTGAGCGTCTCCAACGGGAAGGACCAGCTGGTGGTGTTCCACACCAAGGACAACAAGGATCTCATCGTGTGCCTGTTCAGCCCCGAGCCCTCCAGCGACAGCAGGATCGGGGAGCTGGTGGGAGTCCTGGCCAGTCACTTCAAGAGGTCAGTGCTGGGGGGGTTGTTGGACACTCAGGTCACCTCCTGCAGTCACTGTGGTGCCAAATTCCCTGCATTGCTGGGATACCAGAGCTTTTCCTGGCGTTTTGGGGATTCACCTTTTGCCTACAACACTTCATTGCCTCTTCCCCTTCCCTGCCTGTCAGAGCATGGGGGTTTGGGGATAAATATCACTGAGGCTGCCTTTACAAACTGGCCTTGATTTTTGTGGGTTTGAGTGTAAAATAACCCACAGGGAAGGGTTTTAACACCTCAAAGGTGATGAGGGGGGGCTTTTCAGATTTAAATGTTTTAAATTTTCTACGGGGAGCAACGCTGCAGAAACCAGAGCTGGGTCGAGCACTTTAAAAGGACACCAAATCAAGGCTTGGTTTTCATGATATGTGTTTTAAATGTTACATTTAGATGTTATTCAGAAGAACACTGTAAATAAAGTTACAAAATATAGTAATCCCAGGGTCTGATACAGCAAAAATAGGGAGCCCGTGTCTTCGTTAACAATGAATTAATTTAACATTTAAATAGCTGAGATAAACCAAGTACTTATCTCATGCCTTAAATAAAAAACCCAGATGTTTATATGTCTCTCTCAATATTTTAGAGAGATGCACAATGGCTCTTAGAGATTCACAATGGCTCCTGAAGGCTCCTTTCAGCCAGACTCTTAATTTATAAAACTGAGACAGAGCTTTTTGTTTCTCCAGTTGCTCCCAGTTGTGTCAGTAGGTGATTTATTGCTGAGCTGTAAAATGTCATCTGTGTTTCCTGAAATCTGTTTGCCTGGTAAATCCCTGTGCCAGGGCTGTTTCTTGGGGATCAGTTGGTTACCTGGTCAGCCAGGATTGAGCTGCTGGAGCTCCAGCTGGAGCAGAACAATCCCCTGGATTCCAGGAGCGAGTTCTGAGCAGTCCAGAGCAGCCCCAAGAGTCACAGGAAGGAACTCTGTGGAGAAATGAGGTGTGGAATGAGCACTTGGGAGAGTTCCCTGGCTCCTCCAGAGCAGATTCCCAGGAGGAATGTTGCTGATCAGCACGTGCAGCCTTTCCCAATATCAGTTGTGACTGATAGTGTTGAGCCTTTGTAAGTAAATCTTCACACAGAGCTGTGAGTGGCAGGAAAATGAGGGAATTTAGGTCACTTTAGGTCCCTGGGTATTTTTTCTGTGAATTCAAGAAGGATGTGCTGGCCCAGCCCCTTCTCCCCATGTTGGTGTGGAGCTCAGGGCTGTCTGTGCTGCTGGAGCAGGAGCTGAGTCCACTGGAAATGAATCCTCAGCACTGGCATCACTTGTCTGGGGAAATTCGGGCCTGAAAGGCAACAGAAAACATTCTCTGGTTTTGCTTTTACCTAAATATCATTTAATCTCAAACTCTTGAAGGTTCAGGAGGGGGTGTAAAGCAACACACTTTCTTTGGGAATCCTGTGGAGTTGCTGGAGCTCTGTCATGTCTGGCATCACCTTCGGGTGGCTGGTGCTGCTCAGGGCCTTGCCAGGTCTCCAGAGTGCTGTGAAACTCTTGGTTACACTCCAGATCTTGTGTTCAGCGGCCAAACTGCCCAGGAATCCTGTTCCTTTTCCTTGGATGAGTCCCCAGATCTCCAGCCTTTGTCACCTGTGCCACCCTCCACCCCAGCCACTTGTGCTTCATTTTAACCAAGGGTGTTGTGTGACCATCAGCCTGAAATATTGACCTTCATCTAAGGGTGTAAACTGCTGATTTTCAGGGTTTTTTACTGATTTTAACACTGACATTTCTATCTTTAAAAAGAATTAGGTTTAATCTAATCACTGTCTGGAGGAGAATGGCAGTTAAATACACTCACATGCTGAGAAGCTCCACTTAAATTAGCATTATTTTAGTGCTTCAAATGACAAATCTCAGCACAGCTGGTTAAAGGGGAGAGCTGATCTAAAAGCCCATTTTTCCCAACATCCAAGAAAAGTTCCTGGATTAAGGGTAATGCACAGGACAACTTGCATTTAGCTTTCCTAATATCCCAATATCACGGTTTCCCTCTTTAAAGCAATATCTGTAAATCAAAATGGAAGGAAATATTCGTGGTTTCAGTCACTCTCAATTTTCTGAGAGTCAGAAAATGCTGTCAGTGATGGGATTAGCTGACCCCTGGCTGGAGAGGGGCTTTGGGAATTCCTCATTAACCAGGATTAGCTGGATGTCGTGTGCCCGTGGCAGGGGTCGGGTTTCCCTGTCCTGCCTGGGAGGAGGTGGTTGCTGAGAGCAAAGCCTGGGTCCAGCAAGAAAGCCTTGAGCCTGAAGGTTCAATTTGTGACCCACAGTGGGATTTCAGAGCTCTGCTCCACGTGGGAGCAGCTCCCGTGGGTGCCAGGGCTCCCACTGGGGTCCTCTCTGAACACACAGAGCTGTTTCCAGCCATCCCAACATCCCTCCTGGAGCCCTGCTGGGAGGTTTAGCAGGGCTGGGGTGTCACAGCCACCTGTGGTTAGGTGGGGGGCAGAAGGCAATGATATTTTAGCTATTTGTGCAATAAAATCATGTCAGTTCAGTGCCATGCTGTGTGTAGGGAAGGGGAGGGGGAGGCTGGTGGGGTCACCTGTGCTGAGGGTGCTCAAACCTTCTCATTCAGCTGCTTTGTATCAGATTTTATTATTTTTTCCAATCTCTTTGAGCTGGAAACTTCATTGCTGAGACATCTGTTTGGTAATTTTGGAGGTTTTCAGCAATAAATAGATTGGACACTTTAGAACAGGCCTGGAGGTGACATCTTTAGGTTCTGAATTCTGGCAGCTGCTTCTGGAGATGTGACCCCGTTCCTGTTCTTGGGCATAAAAGCTTCACATTTGGGAATGTTTTGCCTGAGTTCACATCTTTTCACCACCTGAAACTGCATCTTTTAAAACTATTCCTGGTAGGAATGGCCTTACCTGGAGGTTGTGCTCACAAGGGAGTGTTTATGGAGTGTAAAACCAACACGATGCTTCTGTGAGCTGGAAAATGTTCAGTGGAGTTACCAGGAGTTTGAGTCATCCTTCTAATAGATGAGCTAGGTTCATTTTTTTTTTTAACAATGCACTTACTTAGGCAGCTGAATTCCCAACAGAAGTTGTGGGAATCCAGCTGAGATGCTGATGTGGCCACAGCAAGTTGATGTCTGCCTGCAAAACATGTCCATGAGCTGAGCTCCCCTGGTGTTTGCTGCTGTTCTCTGGCTGTCTCAGCCCCAGGGATGGGCATCTCCTGCCAGAGCCCTTGTCCCTGCCAGGTGAGAAGAGCTGGGGTTGAGTGAGGGCATGGAATAGCTGGGAAAATCCTCTGGCAGCAGAGTGTGGTGGGTGGTCCCTCGTATGAAATGGGATCCTGGGACTCTTTTTGCTGCTCAGCGGGAGGCAGAGATGCTCTCACGTGACTTGGCCAGCACAGAGCCCTCATCTTGGATTCCCAAGGCAGGGAAGCAGCTTTTGGGAGCTGTGGATGTGGCCGCAGTGTCCCTGTGAGTGCCAGAGCCTGGGCTGGGAGAGAGGGACCTGAGGAGCTCTTGGAGGAGCGAGGGTGGCTGTAAAGGGGGAGGATTATCAGCCAGGAATGACTTGTCCTGTCCATCTTTTACACCTTTGTGGCCCTTCAAGCTCTAGAAGATGTTCCAGCTGCTCAGTCCAGCAGACTGAGGACTCTCTGGCTGCACTTCCCTGGGAAGGCCCTGTGGGAGCCACGTTCCTTTGGCTCTCCCCATCCTTGGTCACACTGTGACCCTGTGTGGGTGCTGTCACCTGACCCCTGGGGGTGTTCAGGCAGCTCAGGTGTCCCCATAGAAGGTTCCCAAGGCCCATCCTGTTCCCATTTATTCATTTGTTGCTGTGTTGGAGCTGGCAGGGTTTGTTCTGTCTCGCTGCCCACGCGTTGGGATCACTGTGTCACTGCTCTCCCGTGCTTTCTGTTCCCTAATCCCCACATTGTCTGCAGCCACAGCCCTTGGTTTCCTTCCAGGATTCCTGAAGGGCAGGGGGAGTTACCAGTAGACAGCAATCCCTGCAGAAACCCAGCAGAAAATCACTTGCCTGAGGATAATTCGGTGTTTTCCAGCGCGCTCGAGACCCGTCGGCCAGTTTGGGTCCTCAGTGCCCTGGATTTGTTTCCCTTCATTCTGGGGCCTCCTCCTGGTGTGCCTGGAGCAGGAATTCACACCCATGGATCTCACCCCATCCCAAGGTGTATATGCACATATTATAGAATCATGGAGTGGTTTGAGTTGGGAGGGATCTTAAAGCCCATCCAGTGCCCCCCCTGCCACGGGCAGGGACACCTTCCCCTAGCCCAGGTTGCTCCAACCTGGCCTTGGACACTTCCAGGACTGGGGCAGCCACAGCTTCTCTGGGCAACCTGTGCCAGTGCCCAGAATATGTGGGGAAAACAGATGTATATATTCTTAGGTATATGTAAAATGTGGCAATTCTATGTATAAATATGTGTGTAAATAGATTTAAAAAACCTGGGGAGGGGGAGTCTGTGCCAGCAGAGAACAGAACCCCGGAACCGTCAGGGTTGGAAGAGACCTTCAAGATCATCCAGTCCACTGTCCACTGTAACCCTTCAACAGCTAAACCAGCCTTTCAAAATAAAGTGAAATATTACCAGGTTTGGTGGAAGGTGCCCAGCTTTCCCAGACTTCCATATCAAGGAAGGTTGGCCTGGGGAAGGGCATCCTTCCAAAACATCCTTCCAAAACATCCTCCCAAACCTCTGTGCCTGACAGGGACAGATCTGGGATCAAAGCTTTTAGCTGCTGAGTAACAAAGAGATCCTGCTGCAAACAAGGATCCTGGGCCAGAGTTTGTGGCCTGAGCAGAGCAGGACCTGGAAGGGGAGCAGTGGGATCACACCTCGGTGGGGTCCAGGGGCTGCTCCTCCTCGGGGTGGGTGCAGAGAAGCCCAAAGCTGAGCCGGGGCTCAGCCTGGAGGAGGCACCTCAGGGCATTCACAAAAGCCATTTTTGGGGGAAAAAAAGAGC